TTGGTTTATAATCTATCTATATATAAAAGCCTAAGCAACCAAACAACCTGTCGCCTGGTCGCTATGACATGTACTGACCATCAGGGGGCAGATGCTCAATGCAGGAGCTGCCCCCTGGTGGTCAATGTGCTCCCACAATGGGAGCACCACTCAGCTGACCCATGGGTGCCAGAAGCAGGGCTCACAGATGGGGACTGACTGGGCTTGAGCCGGTGGCAGGTTGTACAGCCCCTGAAAAACAAGTCCCGCCAGGGCAGAGGGAGGACTCAGCAGGGCTGTAGACTCTGCCACCCGTTTCTTAAAATCAAAAGAAGACCCCACCAGTGCACGAATCTGTGCACCGGACCCCTAGTAATTAATCACATTAACATTGAAATTATTGAAAAAAGAAAATTTCCTCCACCTTTCCAGGTTCTTCCAGATGGCCTGATAATTAAATCTACATGACACAGATTAACAAAGGAAAATAACCAAATTTAATGCATACATACATGTGGATGACCCACATACATGAGGGAGTCAGAGACCCCACATTCATGAGAGGTTCAGGAACAGAAAAGACAGATGAGGTATCTATGTCACCTGAGCTAGGGATGAGGCATCAGAGGGAAGAATCCTCAAGACCTTCAGTAATTAGAAGCTTGCCCTGCCCTCTAGATAGGTCATAGAATATCATCTTTGGTGGTAACTCTCATTATGGGCCAGGCCCCCAATTTAGACTCATGTAGGTGGTTAAGCAAAAGGTAGAAGTTTCTTGTGAGCCCAAGAGGGTCTTGATGGCCTTCAGCTCAAAATAATCCACATGTCAGCCTGGCCAGTGTGGCTCAGTGGTTGAGCTTCCATCTATGAACCAGGAGGTCATGGTTGGATCCCCAGTCAGGCACATGTCTGGGTTGCAGGCTCGATATCCAGTAGGGGGCGTGCAGGAGGCAGTTGATCAATGATTCTCTCTCATCGTTGATGTTTCTCTCTCTCCCTCTCCCTTCCTCTCTCTGAAATCAATTTAAAAAAAAAAATCCCAATGCCAAAGGGACACATCTGGGGGAGGCATGTTCTGAACCTCCTCAGAGATAATGTTATAATTGAGGTGGGAATTATAATAAATATAAAAATATTCAATTCGTCCTAAATATAGCTTAGTTATTAGAATTAGTATTGCAATATTAGCATTAATACAGTAATTGAGGTGGGAATGAAACAAACATGATTATTATCACAGGGTTGACATCAAGGTTAAGCGGGTCGCTGTGCACCAGTTTTGCCAATGGGGCTACCAAAGCCTGTGCTAGGCAGCCTTACCCCGGTCTCCCTCCCTATACCCCTCCCCCCTGCAGAGACCCACGAACAGTCCGGGTGGTGCTGGGGGCTCACAACATTCGCACCTCGGAGCCCACCCAGCAGGTGTTCAGCGTCTCAGCTGTCGTCAGGCACCCTGACTACCAGCCCACAACCCACGCCAATGACATCTGCCTGCTGCAGGTGAGCGTCATGGGGAGGAACACTGGATGTAAGTCTGACCTGTCCCCGCTACTCCCATGATGACTGAACCTGTTTTAAAATAGCTGAAGGATCCTGAAACACCTGAGTCAGGTGAAGTCTTTGCTCAAATGTCCCCTTCTCAGGAGACCTTCTTTGATGACCCCTTCATCCTGCAACCTGCCCCTGCCCTGCTGTCCCTTCTCCCTGTTCCACCTTTCTTATGTCCAGCACGACTGTCACCTGCTAGCAGCACCTGCACATTTGCTGCTTCACCATTGTTCACTGCCTCCTCTGGACCTGAGGGCAGGGATTTTTGCCTCGTTTATGACTGTTTATGGCACACAGCAGGTGCTCAATGTTCAGGCTGGTAGGGGGAACAAACGGGGCACTAGGGCCACGAAAGACCTCAATTCCCTGCTACTTGGGCCCTTCCTGGGGCTTTCTGGCTAGGAAGTGACTTCACCCATAAATGTGAATTTCCCTCTGCTTCCCCATGAGGTGTGTCCTTTACAACTACCCCCCTGCAGTTCCCAGCCAGGCACCCTAAATTCAACTCCAGGAATCCCCATGGGCCTCTGTTTCAAAGGGAGAATGCCCCAAACTTGCCCTCCAAATGTGTTGAAAAGTTAAAAGGGGGAGATACTCAATATGATTGGATGGGTCCCTGGGGACAGGAAGGTCAGGGGTATGGGGTTCTCTTGGCAAATAAAAAGGGGGCAGTGGATGTCAGCAGCCAACACCTGGATTTTACTCACCTGTGGAACCCCAAAGCTTGGAACCCACTGCTCTGACTCACCCATCCCATTGTGCAAATGGGGAAACTGAGGTTGGGGTGGTCAGCGATGTGCCCAAGGTCAGGGGGTGTGTACCAAAATTAGGGGCCCACGCCATTCATTCCAAAACTGTTGATTGAGTGCCAGCTGTGTGCCCGTCAGCGGGGACATGGCCAGGAACAAGCCATGGGGGTGACCCCTTTAAAGCCTTCAGTCTAACCGGGTGGCAGCTGGGTAAAGTGGCCATGACAGGGGCACATGGCTGCCCAGAGGAGGCTCCGGCCCTAGCCTGGGAGTCTTGGAGAGCTTCCTGGAGAAGGTGGTGTCTAAGCTGAGGCCTGAAAGCTGGATAGGAAAGGTGCTCCGGGTCGGGGTACAGTATGAGCAAAAGTGTGGGGTGGGCCCAGGACATGGCAGTAAATTCATTCTGGCTGGGGGGGGGAAATTAATGGGGGGGGCAAGTATTTTATTCCAAGGGCAATAAAGGAGCAATGGGAGGGGTTGGAGCAGGGAAGGAGATGCTGTTTAGAAAGACCATTTGGGTTGAGTGGGTAAGAGCTGATGGACAGGGAGCATGTGGTGGCAAAAGCAGTGGGCCTTCTGACAGCCATTGCTTTCCATAAGGCCAAGAGATCAGGTGTCACAGGTGGGTAAACTGAGGCAGGAGCAGTGGTGATGGTTTGGGTGGTCCAAAACTCAGTGTTCTCCCCATAGCTGAACAGCTCTGCCATCCTGGGTCCTGCAGTGGGGCTGCTGAGGCTTCCCCAAAGGGGCACCAGGCCACCCAGGGCCGGGACGAGGTGCCATGTGGCCGGCTGGGGCTCGGTGTCCAACTTTGAGGACTTGCCACCTGGGCTGATGGAGGCCGAGGTCCGCGTGCTGGGCCTGGACGTCTGCAATAGCTCCTGGAAGGGCCAGCTCAGCCCTGCCATGGTCTGCACCCAGAGTGGGGACCGACGGCGGCGAGGCTTCTGCTCGGTAAGATATTCATTGCCCGTCCCTCCCACTTACCACATGGGGGGACCAAGGCTCACAGAGAAGGGTCAGAGCTGGGCAGAGCCTTGGCAACCAAGTCCAGCTTCCTCTAGACCAGACCATGTATGGCTGTGCTGTGCACAAAGAGCTACACATTTGTGTATTTATAAACAGGACCCAGTACAGGCGGTAACCGATCTCCAGGAAGGAGCTCCTGCTCCTAATACCCTGGCCCTGATGCAGAGGAAGAAACTCAGCCTGGAGGGTCTTTTGTTTTAGGCAAGAGAGTCCAATGGTTCAGAACACAGGTTCTGGAGCCCAACTGCCTGGGCCCAAGTCCACACTGTGCCACTTTCCAGGCCTTGGAAAAGTTGCCTCACTTCTCTGGACCTCACTCCATCTTCTCCATCTATATAGAAATGCCACTCAGAGGAGCAGAGCTAATTCCGGATGACAATTAGGATGCTAGGACCAGGAGGGGAGGGGATGGGAGGAAACAGGAGTTTTAGGGTGAATATTCAGAAGGCTTCTCTGAGGAGAGCACCTTTGAGCTGAGACTTGAAGGAGCCTTAAGATCTGAGGGAAGGCATGACAGGCAGAGAGACAGTCACAGGGCTGCCATGCACAGCTGTTCGGGTCTGTACTGCACAAACAGCTGCAGAATTCTATGTTTGTGCAGTACAGACCCGATGTTTATACAAGCAGTGTCCAGTAGGGGGCAGTAACAGGTCTCAAAGACAAGTGAAAACTTAGCGGCTGATGAAGCTTGGCTTGCTCTAGGAAGAGCCAGGAAGGCTGGTGTGGCTGGAACCAGATGAGTGAGGGAGAGAGATGTGGGCAGGATCCTCAGGGTCTTAAAGGCTGAGGTGAGGGTTTAGCCTTTGCTGTAAGAGCACTCGGGGGTCGTGGAAGGATTTTGAGGGCAGGAAAGGGTCCTCATGGGCGTTACATGTAGAAGCTCCTTCAAGCAAAGTGAGGCTGAGAGAAGAACCCCTGAGCTCACCTTTCCCTTCATCCCCCAGGCGGACTCCGGAGGGCCCCTGGTGTGCAGGAACCTGGCCCATGGCCTCGTTTCCTTCTCTGGCCTCTGGTGTGGCGACCCCAAGACCCCAGATGTATACACACAGGTGTCTGCTTTCGTGACCTGGATCTGGGGTGTGGTTCGGCAGCGACCCCACAGCCCCCAACTCAGCTCCTCACCCCGGACCACTGGGGCCCCCACAGGAGCTTCCTGAACCACAGCAGCACGGTGTACCCAAATGAGATGACAACCAGTGCAAACAGCTCTGGCCTGGAAGATTCTGTGGCTGGGGCAGGGGGTCCACAGAACCTTCCAGGGAGTTTGGAGGGTGGGTGGGCATATATTCCAAACAAAAAGGGCCAAAATAACTGAATAAAATGTTAACTGACAACCAGACATGATGGTCTACCCACATCCCTTGAGTTTCTTCTTGGCCTCAAGGTGGCTGAGGGTCCAGATGAGCCACTTCCTCCCTGAGCCAATTGCTTGGTCGCCTTTCTCTTTCACCCACTCCCACCACCACTCTACCTGTCTCAGACCTCTCCCTGGGTGCTGCCCACTGCCCAGAGCTGGACACTGAGGCCAAGATGGACAGTGGCTGCCCCAAGGACATATGCTCATGCTCTTCCAGATGCATCTAGAGCCCCCACTTACTACCCTAATAGTAACCCAGGCTCCAGACTAGTAACCCTCTACCAAAGTGGGCAGCACAGAGGCTCAGAGAGAGAGTAGACCAGGAATTGACCCCAAGGTGGCTTTTTACAATCTTTATTTCTTTGGTGAGGCAGGACCCCAGGCCGGGGAAAATTGCCTTATTGGGTGGCTTGGGCAAACTCACCTACTCAAGGACACTTTTCTGGGTGACATAGGTAAGGCACTTTCTGGGGGCTGGGAGAGGGTGGGCACACTGCCCCCTGAGCTCCTTGCCCCAAACTTGAGGAGCTGAATTCCCATATCAGGTCTGATCCTCTGGTCTACACAAAGGCACAAGGAGGTGGCATTGAGTGACAGCCCAGGAATGCAGGGAATTGGCCCTAGGCTGGGGTTGAGACCCCTGAGCCGAGCTGGTGGGCAAAGAGGGTTCACCCAAGAACTGGGCCTAGAGACCCAAGGGTGGGCCTCATGATACCAAGGGGTCCTGTGTCTGGACCTCGCCTGTGGACGAGTCAGCAGGCACTAGGGGTGCTGTTCAGACACGCAGCTCCAGGGGGCCGGGTGTGCAGTGGGCCTTGGTGTCTATATCCCACCGGATGAGTAGGGGCTCCCGGGCCCCAGGAGATCTCACCCGAAGTGGATCGGGCCCTGTTCTGAGCTAATGCTGAGCTGAGGCCTATGTCAGGAGGCACAGACAGTGCCTCCCCGACCAGGGGATAAGCTGGGCTTTTCTCAGGGGCCTTTACAGGACCTGCTGGGTACGCGGAGGCAGTGGGGGAAGGAAAGCCCTGAATACTTGGGTTGGTAGGGGACAGACTGCTTCCTTGACCTGTCCGGGGTTCTAAGCATGTCCTGAGGTCCATGTATATGCACCCAGGTTGTGGACCCCTCCCCATCCCTTGTTCTAGAAGGCTAGGGTGCCCTTTCATTAATTGCTGGCAGAGAACTCTCAGTCCTCTCAGTGGCAGTGATAATTAATAGTTATTCCCGAGGGAACAGAAGCAAGGTCCTCTTGAACAGTAGTAGGGTGTTTGGGGTGGAGGGTTCCCCTACCAGCACTGCTCCCAGGCCTCCTCCCACCAATTCTTCCAAGATGTGTATGGTTGGGGGGAAGGGTCCAGGGCTCCCGCAAGTGGTCCGGTCCTGGCTCTGGGGAGTGTCCATGGGACATAAATTAGGCTTTGCTCTGGCAATAAATAAAATGGGGGAGGCCTTGAACGCCAGGCCCAGGCCACCCTGTTAAGTCACACAAAGTTCTCCTCTTCTTCCTCCGACTCAACATCTGCTGGCTCAGGGGTGCCTGCTGAGTGGGAGGGACGAACAGAGAAACGGGGGTACGGAGAGGGGCTGGGGCCTACAGCCCACCACTGTTCCCCGCTCCGCACCGCACCTGCGCAGCTGCCCGGGTGTCGCACGCCAATGGAACGGCCCAGGAAGCAGGTGGCCTGGCGGAGGTGGCACGAAGACAGGTAGGTGACGTTGTTGTTGCCGCAGAGTTCCTGGCCAGGGCTGGAGGGCGCGGGGCAGGGCGCAGCGCGACACATCACGCAATGGGCACTGCCTGTCTGGTCCACCACGCACGACTGTGGCCGCTGGCACACCACGTGCGCGCAGGACTCTGTGGATAGGGCGCCAGGGTGGGTCAGGGGCGCCACCTGGAGGACGAACTCCGCCCACAACACTGAGGGCACCCTCAGGCCCCGCCTCCTCGGTTGTGGCAGAAGCCACACCCCTTCAACGAGACCCCGCCCACATCCCAAGACCACCCTCAAGCCCCGTCCCCTCTTACTGCACCCTCAAGCCCCTGAGTCACGCACCCATACTTCTCACCCCACGTGAGCCCCGGAACCCCTTTCCAAACTTCCACCCTACTCTTCCTTATTCTCGATCCCACAAAAGACCCAATCCACTGACGCTTTCCCAGCAGCATTAAAGACTCCCTTTACTAGACTCCGCCCACGACCTCGCCACCTAGGCCCCGCCCACAATAAGCCCGGCCCCAACCCTCAAGACCTCTACCTACATCGCTAGTCCCGACGCACCGGAGGCC